ATGCTTTTTAACTGAAATGTGAGCTCCAGTGCTTGCAAAAGTTATACACAATACACAATGTTTAAAATGCACAGTATTCTTATACTACTAAGCACGATTATGACCGATATGCCTGCCCGATCTCAATGAAGTTCGGTTGAAACACAGGACCAGGCACTTAATTTTCATAGACTACAAAGCGAAATGACAATAATTATATGACCCAGGTGTGAAACCAACTCACACGGGGCATAATGAACTGAACCTACTACCACTACTGTTATAAATCCACAAGGCGGTGTCGGGAAGAGGAAAGTTGGTTAATGCAAATAACGGTAAGGGTATCGGTAAATTGGTGTGCACACAACAAAACAACTCATTTGAAACAGGCCGTGATATTCACACAACAGAGAATTAATGGAACGGTCCGACAGTAGATGCAGTTAAAATGACAATGACGTGTTTCGGAGGGCAGAACATCTGACCGGTTCCACCGTGAGCGTGGTTTCCCTATCGAGGATTCAACCCAACACCAGGAATGTGTTTCTCGTTCATTGTTCGTATCATAGTTTGCTGTGCCCCAAGACTGCTTCCAATGAGCCTGATTACTCCGTATCAGTCTCTTGCACGAGCCATCAGTTACCCGTATTAATTAATCACGTCCAAATGCTGCGTATCAAGTATTCATCCGTTCTTCTCAGGAATTGCAAAGTTGAAAAAAATCTTGGTCTTCTTGACTTTTCCCATCACACAATCATAGTGGTTACTTATCTCAACCAAATGTTTCTCCTTATCCTATATGGGTCTTTGTGTGAGTTTTCGTTTTTACTATAGAAAACGGGTGAGCTATAAAAATTTTGGAACTAATGACGAGACTTTGTCAGAGTTTATGTGAATAGAGAACAAAGTAGGTTTGCTTTGCACAATTCGCATCCGGATATATTTAGCGGTATCTCATCAGACACATATTACAGATTACATAATCTTGGTAATTACAACAAATTGATAAAAATTCCTGTTAAAATGTTCACAACTGTCATGAGTTTCGCCAAGGTAACGAATGACTCCTTTTACTTACACAAAATAAATTTCCATCTTTGAATCGCAAATGCTTAAACAAACTGCAGTAAATGTTAAACCATACCAGATAGAATCACGGAGAACACAGTAATTTAGTCGGACCGATGCGTGGTCGGTGACCTTGAACCCGTTTCCAACTGGTTGACTGGGACATATTCAGTCACTCCCAGTTGAAGTTGCCGATCAGTTCGACCTTGTTATGTGGCACAGCACCCACACTTGAACATGTATCGGTCTGAATTGGTATGCACTGGTAACAACTGATTCACCGGGGGAAGGGTATTGTAATAGTTGAAATACGCACAGATCACGAATTACGAATCGTGTATCAGGCTTCACGGACGCCACGGAAGCATTCGATCAGATTGGTGCTTGTACAACGGTAGCCCACGTAATCGAGAAGGTAGCAGCTTGTTTATTGGAATAAATCTGAACACCTGAACTGTCAAGTGATCTTATCGGCGTATCTTCTCGCTTCACTGAAAACTTGGTATTGTATTCAATGGGTAATCCCCATAGTATGCTGATCACGTTTCCTAGGCTATTTTGTGATGGATGCCATCCACATGTACCGGTTTGAAAAAACCAAAGAGACGTATGAACTAATTGTTCATCATGCTGTCGTAGGTTTGAGGATTCTCAAAAGATTTAATATGATTTACATGCAGATTCTTCTATGCTTTTCGTCTGCGATTGTATCTGGAAAGTACATTGGGTACTCTGTTGTTGCACTGCTAGTGGAAGTTAATTCTGTGTTTTTGCAACTGCGACGGATTTTAAGATACCTTTTTATTCCAAAAGGAAGCGCGCTCTCGAGGACCATTCGATTTGCCAACATCAGTAAGTTCTAAGTACTGTTATCGTCGGCCTATCCGATTTTTACAGGCACCAGGCATTGTATGTGCTCTTTTGTTTTGAATGTTTGTTTATTGCCCACGTGCTGCTAACGTAATATATACGGTGGAAATGTGGTGCTCGACGAGAAGCTTTACGACTGGACGGTTACCATGGCCTGCTTTTTGCTTCATTGTTGAGACTTGAGCTAAAGAAGGAACGCTACAGCTCGACAGTACGTTTTTTCGAGTATCACCAAAGAGTTCCGCCGATTATTTCATTCTGAGGTTTTATTCAGTATTGTCAATTTTTTGGAAGCGCTTGCATTTATTTTTTAATCGTTTGAATTATGATGTGGCTACCTAGCGGTTTTAAGATTTTTCGCGACTTGTGTTTGTCATGCCTACGAATTTTTCTTTTCACTCATATATTCTTTCAAAGTGAATCTGAATTCAGTTGTATGTATCGTGCAACTAAACATACTTCCCACACAACACCCGTCTTCGCTACCTGCTCTAATTTGAATGGTTCCGCTGACTCTGCAATACCATATCGGTGCCTACCGTTCCACTCCCTCAACCTCATTCTACATTCAAACTGGATTCATTCACCGTGAGAATTCTGATGCTTATAGGAAGAGAAAGACGGTTTAGTGCGTACACTCGGAAGTCTAGAGATGTACGTGTTTTTCTCCTCCGAAACACGCATTCAGGACCTAAGCTCAGCCACTCGGCACTGATGACGTTCGATATAACGATAAAAATTCTTGTGGATTTAGAAATGCGTGCGACCTAGTGTTTCGTTGCCCGGGCCGGACAAAAACACTCGTGGTTGTCGTAGACTTATTGACGTATAGTAGTACGGCGAAGCCGTGCCTTTCTCGGCCAGGGCAACTAGCAAATAACATGCCCACACGACTACGAATACGTTCTTCAGATTTCTTTTTGTTAATACCATCATCATCATCATCATCGTACAGCGAGATACAGTGAAGTGAGCTTCACTGATCACTGCCAAGCTCACAATGTACACAAATCAAGTGATAAAGCATAAGATGGAGAGGGATTGGGCCTACTTCGAGGGAGGCAAAGAAAAAGAACCTCTATGTTCAACACCCAGAGTACACAATCTAAGTGTTCAAGCATACCTTTTTCAAGCATTCCGCCTTGTTAAGAAATGACAACAAGAGCGCCACTGCTGTCGGTCAGTCGCC